TTTACCCATATGATAGAATAACTATCTAACGGGTGCGGCAGAATAAATGGCCCTCTCAGTATTTTAACTAGAACATTTCTTCTTTTTGTCCTTTAGAGCTGATTGTTTTTCCAAAAGATACGCCTTTAAATTCTCTACAAAATCATAATCAAACTTATTTTTGTAGAAAGTGAAGAAAGAAAATTAAGCGACAATTATTCAACACATAAAAAATACCTAACTCTCCAAACTATTTGATGTTCCATAATGAATGGCTAGTATTTTGACGTTTGCATCTCTTTTTTTATCATCTAGCACGTCTATTTTGAAAGTAAAGTATACCATAAGATGCAGTATGAAAAGCTCTACAAGTTACATTAAAAATCTTATTTTATATATGCATTCTTTGTTTTCAAAATGGACAAAATGCTGTACGACCAATTTTCGACGCTGCAAACAGGATTATTTGTTGGTCGCACAATATTTTGCTTATTTTAGAAACAAAAGGTGTACATATATAAAATAAATTGTTCTTTGTAATTTGTAGAGCTTTTCGCGCTGCATTTTGTGGTATATTTTGTTTTCTTTTATTAAAGCCTATTAAGTGATAAAAAGATGAGTTAAGAAAAAACGAATTCGTAGTGTAACAAAAAATGATCTTGTTTGGAGCGTCAAAAATTGGGCGCACAAAATTTTGTCCATTTTACAAACAAAGAATGCCTATATAAAATAAGATTTTTAATTTAACTTGTAGAGATTTTCAAGCTGCATCTTATGGTACACTTTGCCTTTAAAATAAACATGCTCAATAATAAAAACAGTGATACAAATATCAGCCATTCATTATGGAACATCCAATAGCTTAGAAAGTGGAGTCATTTTTATGTGCTATATTATCTCCTTTTGATAGTTTTCCCTCAAGTTTCTACAAAAATAAGTTTGATTATAATTTTGTAGAGAATTTAACGGCGCATCTTTTGGGAAAACAATCAGCTCTAAAGGATAAAAAGCAAAAAGTTATAATTAAAGTACTGAGAGGGCCATTTATTTTGCCGCACCCGTTAGGCAAGAAAGTAATCGTTTTACCTTATGTACTTTAAGATTGAGATAAATATGAGCTAAGTCTAATGTTTTTAAATTTGGATACATTTGTTTGTATTGTTCTTTGGTAATTCTATTATGTTTTAGTAAATAATCGAGTAAGGTTAATACAGAATGTAAATCATCTGCTAATGAACAAATACCATTTGTAATTTCTTGATAAGCATTGGTTTTGGTCATATAATTTCTAATTTTTTCTTCATATTCTTGAGCATCAATAAAGAAAAATAATTTACTTTTATCAGTTTGTCCAACAGCAATATTAGCTTTGCGCAATTTTCGTTGCATTGATTTTATCATCTTATACATATATCGAGCATGTTGTTTAAGTGTTGTTGGTAATGGCTTTGTATATAATTGTTGAAGTAAATTTTTCATTTCCGAAAAAAATTCCGTTGCGCGTGTATCATTTGTTAAAAACGTATAATTAATAAGATTTTTACAATTTTCAGCATAGAGCCGCTTGTATTCTTGTTCAATAATTTCTTCCATAGGTTGAGGATAATAGAAATGACTTTGACATGGTGGAATAAATTTTAAACCTTTATTAATAATAAGTAATTGTTCATTGAATAATGGTATAATTGTATTGGCAAAAAATAATGAAAGAAGCATACTTGTATTATTAAGAATATTTAATTTTGATTTGCTCCGACGTCATCGTTGTCCATTGTATTGTCTTGTGACGCTGGAGCTTCGTCGAAAAAAGACTTCAATTTTTGTTGTGTAATATAATTAGCACGTTCGATCATATGTTTTTCACGTGCTTCAATAGCTGCCATTAATTGTTTAAATATATCAGAATTTGAATTAGTTTTTTTGAATTTATTTGTAATCATTAATAATTTCTTTTTTTCTTTTTTAGCTATTTTATCATAATATCGTACTTTGTCTTCACCAGCTGGTATACTTAATTCAAGCATATCATATTTAAATCGTCCAATTTTTTTTAAAATGACGTGCATTTAATGTTGTTTGTCATCATTATCATTCGTAGAAGATGGTTTTGAGCGAGTAAGTATTTTATCAATTTTATCAAGAGTATAATCAAGAAGATTAAAAGCTGGTGATAAACAATTTGAATGGATACGATATTTTAATATTTCAATTTGTTCTTTCATTTGTTTTTTATTTTGAATTGCTTTCCATATATTACGAATACAACGAATTTGTTGTGTATTTGGTTTTAAATCATAAACTTGTTGTACTAAACGATGATCTGTTGAGTCTAATTTTAACATTTTTTTATTGTGTTAAAATTGTTGTTTTAATTTATGTTGACCTTTACGTACAACAGCTGTAACCATTGCTGATAATTTTTCATAGTCTAATGGAGGATTCATTTGTGATAGACATTGAGGCAATGGTTGAGTACCAAAATCTTGTAATGCTTGTGATGCTTGTTGAAGTTGTCGTTCAATGCTTTTTAGACGTTGTATAATTAATGTTTTTGATCGACCATAAGTATAATTCATACTATTCATAGCAGCCCATTTTTTTTATACACGTCCTGACCAGATATTTTCTTGTATACCAATATCATAATAATATTTCCATTGACTTTCTTGCAATTGTACGTAGAATAGACGATGAATTAAATAAGTATATTGACGAATATACTTAATTTTATCTTTTGAATTTAATTTTTTAACAATTTCCTTAGCATCTTCTAATGAATTAATTAACATTTTTTTAAATATACGATTTGATACTTTTAAATAATTAGGTATATAAGAATAGTCATTATTATGATTAATTTGTTTTTTAGATTTTGAATGTTTCGTTTCTGATGTTCCATTTGTTATTACTTGTTCAATTTCATTAGTTGCCATCTTTTGTTTTTTTGGTGATGGTTGAGAAATAGATAATTGACTTAAAGATTTATCAATTGCATTCGATGATGTTTCATTTCTTTTACGTTTTATTGACTTTTTTACTGTACTATCATGCTGTTTATCTTTATGTTGTGTCGATTGTGGAATCTAAATGAATAGATAAATATTAATCTAGTATATTTAATAAGAAAAATGCACATTACTCGATCATTTTGTATTGCTTCATTATGTT